AAACAGACTGGAGAAGATCTAACTGGTAACTAGGTTGCAAAGGCGGGTATGGGAGGGGCGCGGGGGGAGGTGGGATTATCTGACCATACCATCTCACTCTGCTGCATTCACAGGGATCCCTAGCTGTATTGTTGTCTGGTAAACAGAGTCTTAAAAAAGAGCTTTTTTAACACAAGAAATTACATATCTTAATTTCTGTTTTGTTTTTATTCACTTTATTCTTGAAGCAACTTTATCACAATTGTTGTTCTGAGCTTCTGTTTACTTTTGCACTTCAGCAGAGCATTTAGTATTTATATGTTAACATAAATCATAAGCTTGTGGGACCTTTCTGTCTTCTTTATGTAGAAGCAGAGGATTGTTGTTTGCCACCAGAAAAAAATTGTTTTAGTTACAATGTGATGAAAGATAGAGATGCAGTAAAGGGAAGAGTGGATGGAATGACGATAATGGAAGTCCAGCCTTAGTCCCGCAGTAGAAATCTGTTACATATCTCTGGTGGTGTTTTCATGGCTTCTGTGTTGCAGAAGGAAATATGATTCCCATATTATTGCAACATAAAGTTGAATTTCAGAATGACTCAGTGGATACCCATACAGGAATATTACTGCCTCACAAAAAATGTCTTCTTTATTGACCATTTATTTCTTCTAGTCTCTGAAATCAAAACACAAATATGAGGCTCAAACCCTCAGTACACACACGAACACAGTGCTCACTGCAACTCCACAAACCATCAGCCATAAGATGCAGTGGTGTCTTGACAGACGGTGTCATACCCCACAACAGGATGTGATCTCGCTACAGGTGCTTCAACCGTGAAGCGGTCAATGTCCTCCAGGGTCTGTGTACCCACATACAATAGCCACACCACTCCTGAGAATCCTTTCCACTCAGGAAGTTTGCAGCAGAGTCTTGTGTCGGGCAGGGGCTTTTTTTTTTGTCACTGAATCAATCACTGCAGAAAATTATAAATCTCAGAGTCAGCCGCTTGCTGCGATGACAGGTTATTGAGGTCATAATTTTTCCTTTTTCCAATCTCAATCTTACACAAATCATATATTTATGTCCAAGCTTTAATAGTGTGTGTGCTTTTTTTTACACATATGTGTGTAATTAACTTTCCTCACCTCTTCTGACATTTTGGACAGGAGCAGCACAGCAGCTTCTCAAAGCATTAATGGAATTGTTTTCACCCAAAGATTGGAACAGGACCTGAACCACAGGGTTCCATGGAGAGTCACATCTTTCCTTTTCCTCCATTACAAAGCTGTTGTTTCTGCACGCTTCTAGCCTCTCTGTTGGAAACCATTTTTCCCACGTACATGAAAGGATAATATACACCAGACTACCTTCCATCTTTCCATGGAGATGCCTTCAAGATGTTTTTGACATGCACAAAAATGTGACGTGTCTCATAGCCAGCACTCCCATATATTTATGGATGACACCAATTCATCTTTTTTTTTTCTCTTCACCTCCAGAACCCAATCAGGATTAAAGTAGCCAGATTTGTTTTCCACGCATCGAAAATTATATGCTCCCACTTTCAAATGTAAAAAGGTACAAGTAAACATCTTTGCGCTGCATGCAAGTAAAACAGCAAGATAAATTGTTTTTTAGCAGCCAAGTCAGAAATGCCATCATGTGTCATCTGCTGTTGCTGCAGCTGCCCTGCGGAGTCTCATTCCCCGATCCACAGGAAAAAAAAATAAGAGTAATAGCTCACTCATCCATGTTGGTTGTGCATAATAAGTTAGTGTCTTCATAGCCATTTCTATGGTCGATCAGACTAAAACCTGTTAAATAGCTGTAAAACGTTCATCCAGTTATTTTCTTCTGTCTTAACCCGAAGAGGGTCAAGAGGGCAGCTGAAGCAAATCCCAGCAGTCACTGGACGGGACACTCACTGGACAGATCACCTCATCTCATACAGTGACATACAGTGACAAACAAATATCCTGTCACTGTGTAACTGCAGATTTTTTTAACATTTATTTTTTTTAACAATATTGTAGGCTAGGTTCTTGTTATGACCACAGACTAGATTCATATAAATTATTTCAATATATAAAAAACATATGATCAATACAACAAGGTTTGTTTTTTGAAATTGTAATTTGAAAATGTCAGATTAAACAGCAAAGTGTAATTTGAAAATGTCAGATTAAACAGAATATACCTTTACGTTTTTAGCACATCTGATATTCAATCAGAAAGGTCATTTCATTAGTGATGACATCTGACAGCTCCCAATCTCCATCCATAAACAGTGCTGTTTGTATTTTGATGCCTACATCTTGGTAATGTTAATAAAAGCCTTTTAGCATTTTCTGCCCACGTTGACGTAACAGTGACTGCCAACATGCGAAGCCTTCTTGGTAAATGTCTCCAAACCTCATCAGGGTTTGTAGATGCCTTGATCCTACCATACAGATGGGATATAAAACATCAAGAAGATAAGAAGCTCAGCAGTGGGACTTGAGGTCAAGCTCAGTGGCACATGCTAATGTCAGATAAGAAGTGAGATCAGAGCTTACTACAGAGGTATTTCCTGTAGCACAGATGCAGAGGTCTGGTTACAGTGCTTTGTTGTAGCAGCAGCAGCCAACGCACAAGTAGTCGTAATGTAATTAGGAGCAGAGCCGAGATTAGACCACGGTCCGACAGATTTAGTGGGGGCTGTTGGTTTTCATGGTCACTTAAGAAAGTGACTGACGTGGATGAGCACTCTTCACTGGACATTAAACGCAATTAAGTGGAGGCAGTTGTCCCTCCCCACCTGGACTTTGAACTCTTTGGCGCTTCACCCTCTCAGTCACAATAAATCTACCTGTTCTTCCTGGATTTACTAGTCCTCCTCCACTTTCCTGAACTATTCCTCATGCTCCATATAACCTGGCCTTCTGGATAGTCCCAGCTGTGAGTCTTCGTCAGCTGCTCTGCATAAGGACACGACCTTTACCAGCAACTTTCAATTGATAATATCATGCGCTCATTTTTAATCAAAACATTGTATATGGCCAAGCCGGCGCCTACATACGGGTACAGTCCTGTGAATTATTTACATGCCATGTGATTGAAGGTCTTCTTAGGACCATTTTTCAGCTGCAAAAAGACAAATGAACACAGTTTCTGACACTGAATCTCCTCCTCTTTCCTTTAAGAGCAACCTTAGAATAGTGCTCAGTTTGAGACCTTCTACGACCCTTTATTTATTCTCATATTAAAACAAATATCCTATCGAATGCAGATGGGAAGGGTCTTGTTTGCAGCCTTGGTAAAATTTAAGAATTCTCTCGCAGAATGAGTTCTGTAATTTATTCAATGGATACTTTTGTCTTTTCTCTATCTCTCTCTCTCTCCTCCTTTAATTACTTTCAGTCACGCCTGACTCTTCATGGTGTGAGCCACTGTATCATTCATCAACCCTGTTGTGCTGCTGTGTACTTACCCGAGCACTCATCCATGGAGGTCAATCAGCACAAATCAAGCCTCAAAGGTCAAAGGTTAATGAGAGGTAGATGATGTGACATATGAGAGGAGGCTGTTTGAAGAGGGTTTACATATCCATCCATCTCACAGGGCTCATTAGACCTGAGGTGTCTTCCACCACTGGTGAGGGTCACATAAAAAAAGTCACACTTAAATGTTATCGATTGATGGGGCATTTAGAGTAGAATTGTGGGCATGATGAAACTGTCGTGAACTGTCACTCATTGTTCTATAACTCTAAAAAAAAAAAAATTACATGTATGATAACATAGGTTGACAGTTTTGAAATCAAGTAAATTATTTACATTAAAGTATTTTGTACTTATTTATCTTAAATCAACACAAACACAGTGGTAAAGTGCTCTGTTGTCAGATGACAGATGTCTGGACTTGTTTTTGGAAACAGTGGGAACTCACATTACAGTAGCAAGAGAATGGAATGCAATAAACTTGCAAATGTTCACTTGTGCTTATTTATTTATTTTTATCTGTTTTGATAAATACAATTTAGATTGTCATACTGCATGATGGAATTTAACTATGTTTCAAAGGAAATGATCCATTCACACATTTTCTTTATTCATTTTAAAAGTGGATCCACATTTGGGGAATGCCATTTGTATTGAGTTTGTATAAGGCTATTCAGCAGTCTCTGCGTTTCTGCAAGTCATACTTACACGTATGCCTCGTCCTGTTCTGCTCATTTGCACAGCAGGTCTATATTTCTGACTGGTATTAAAGGTTTGTAGTGCAGAGGTGTGAAGATGAGAGCAAATACGTAAGCAGAGTGAACAAACAAGGAGTGTAGAACTGCATTGATTTACCATAGTGCCTTTCCCTATTCTACCTCATTTGGATTTCTTTTTTCTTGGCAGTATTGTCGTATTTCATTCTATTAGATGCAGTCAGGATATTACCACTTAGACCCCGAGCCTATATTTCACCAAGTGGTTCACAAGTTGTATGGCTCTTATCTCTGATAGATGGACCTACACATCAGTGAGCGGGACGCTCCACTTCACCAATCAAAGCCATAAATGTAAGAGGACTTCAGACCTCACACACATCAGTGGGGACTTTGAAAAAGGTTCAATGGGAATCAGGGTTGCTCCCTCTAGAGTATTTCAAGTCTACTGCATGTAGGTTTAGTTTTAAATTTGTAAATTTAACATCAATTCATATGAGGAAAAACATCACGGACCGTATCTAATCACTCTTGCAGAACATTTATTGGCATGTCATAAAAGTAATTGGTATAATCATGTAGTGTTTTAAGCAGTTTTTGATGATTACTTGCTGCATGTCTATTTTCCCTAAGGCTATGGTTTGAAGTATTTTTGACCCAACCCTACTGTCTCCTCCATTTCAATATCTATAAACGGGTTAGTCCTTAGAAGTCTAATGTGCTACCTACAAATCAACTGCTATCCCTGAAAATATGGTGTCTTATCTTCCTCTGTCTTTACTCACTTTATTTGTTCTCTCCTCACCTTTATGTCTTGCAGTTATGTGGCTGTGGGCTGCTCGGCGTGGGCATCTGGCTATCTGTGTCTCAGGGCAGCTTTGCCACTTTCTCACCCTCATTCCCCTCACTGTCAGCTGCCAACATGGTAATCACTATCGGTGCCATTGTCATGGTAACGGGCTTTTTTGGTTGCCTGGGTGCCATCAAGGAGAACAAGTGCCTGCTTCTGAGCGTGAGTTATCTACAAACCTCCACAGCACTGCATTGTAAATAAGATCCACAGGCGCAGCTGACCATGCAGAAATACATACGCTCCAGGTTTTTCACAAACTTTAACATGGCTCACATAATACTGAACACAAATGCTGGGAACCATATTTGGGTAAATATATCATTAGGAAAAAACCCAAGGCACACCACTAAACATAAATCTAATAGAAAGTATAGGTAGTGAAATATAATAATCGTCTTGTTTAAATGACATCATATTTGTCAAAATCTCGGGCTGTTTAGTTGAAGACGACACTTATATACAGGCAGCAATTGAAGAAAGACAGTCATTAAGATCTTCTTAAACAGATCTTTTTTTATAGCCATCTGCTGCCACCTAGCAGAAGACTATTTAATTGCTCTGCCTTTTATGCTTTGACAAGCAAAGAAAAATTATATGCAATAAATAAATAATAGTTTTCAGCCCAATTAAGTGAAATTTGATCATTTTTCACGGCACACTAGTGAGCAACAGCACAGTGTTTAGGAATCACTGTTCTAGACTATACATAACAATGCAGTAATTGTGGCATCTGGACGAAGGAAAAAAAAAAAACATAAATTCCACCAATCTGTAATTCCCACTTTGTTTTTAAAACATTTCAAAAGAATCCAAGAACCAAATCTGGGACAGTTCATTTACATCAGATATGGGCAAACTGTGGCCCCCCTGGCTTTCTTTTCTGCGCTGCCAAACGCTGGTACAAGGTATAGTAAGGACTGGGGTCAATCCTTCGGTTTCATGCACGACAAGGAAACGCCTCTAATATCTGTTGATGCCAAAAGATGGTGGCATATATAGCTTTTGATTTTCCGTCATATTCTCTGCTCTGCAAAAGTAGCTATTAGTTGTCATGACTGAAGACGGTGCCCTCTTGTGACAACTGATGATATGTATAATCTATAATTTTGATGTTTAAATCCCTTAGGAGTAAGTCTTCAAGCCAAATACTGCAAAAACATCAACTTAATCTCTGAAATATAGAGTTAATGTATATTTATGGAACACACAGACAAATGTAAATGTACCAGTATAATTCCAGTTTGACCCACAGGGCAGACAGTAGAGGGACAGACAGGATGTCAGTCAGCTTTGAATAAAACCTTCTGCTCTCAGAGGAAAATCACACACACACACACACAAATGTTGACTCCACTGCACATAGTCTTATACTGCTCAGGAGGTGACTTATATTATATATTACACAGACCTATGTTTTCCAATTTTGTATTTTTTTAACTGAAACTAAAACCTCTGGGATTTCCGTGTTTGGAATAAGGTTGCAGGTCCCCTGTGTAGAAAAGTAAAATGAGCAGTGAGCAAGCTGTTGCATCATTGGACGTTACAACCAAATACTCAGTGTTTAGCAATATATCAGCTGCCTAACAACTGTGAAATAGAGGGAAGACATGGGGAGCACAGGGTGGGGACGGAGAGGTGAGAATAACAGAGACTTAATTAAAAAATGTGCAGTTCTTATGTCGGCCATTTTTGGCTCTGGTCTTTTCAACAGGTTGCCACAATTAGTTGATTTAATGTGACAGCAACTGTGAGTATTTTTTCTCGTGTGTAGCGTTGAAGACTGTATCCAGTCCAATAAAGATCAGAGTGGGTTTAGATCTTCTGAGGCAAACAGATCTAAGCATTTACCTTGACAGATTATCCCTGGATATACTGAATGGATAACTCTCCCTGGATACGTAGAATTCAAAGACATCAACTGCAGTGAGTTTAGGGTTCTCTTTGCTGCACAATTGGTTCGCAAGCGTGTATTAAGCGAGCGAGGGACAGAGCAGTGAAACATTTGTCCCGAACAGAAGCTCTTCACAGTAATATTTGCTTCCAAAAAATATTGAAAAAATGAACCCACGTCGCTGCATGTAAATAAGGAGTAAACATGTTTATTTCCACCAAAACATTCATAGCACGAGTTATTTACCCCCACAGACGATGTGGCTTTCTCTTAACAGGAAAATATGACTGCGTGGGCACCAGAGTGATATAGTAAACTGGCAAGCCAGATACCAATGAAGAACATTTGTAACAATTTAATTTGAGTCTTGACACAAAATCGTCTTTTCTCCTGCCTCCCACGTGAGTTTGGAATTAGATTTTCCAAAATCCAGGTTTGTGCGCCTCCGCCCATGCTGTGTGGAAGAACTTGTTATTAAATATTGAGCAAGAGGGAGTCAAGACGGGAGAGGAGAATAGTTGATGAGATGCAAGGTTGTCTGGGAAATTTATAGGAGAAGGTATTAAAGCCCAGGCTCTGCTACTACATTTTATTATTCAGGGCAACTGGGCCCATGTAGATTTTGCTGCTGAACTCCAATCTTTATTATTTAACTTATGAAAAAAACAGTCCTTTATGAAACTAATTAGTGGTGACGATGTATAGTTAGTGGAGTTCAGTAAAAGACTAGTAAAACACATGAGCCCTACATTTACAATGTGACATAAAATATTAACCATCACATCAACCATTAACCTTAACAGTATATAAAGAAACATGGTTGTCTTTGAACAAGACAGCAAATATATTTCATCCACCTGATGTTAAATTATCCTCTTAAACAAAAATGACAGGAAAGAAGAACGTGAACTCACAGAAAGCATTTGTATTAAAAGTGTCATTTAACGTTTAATACCAGCAGTGATGCAGTGTCTGTCAGGTGAATGCTCAGTCTGTTTTAATTGCACTGACATGTTTGATTCACTGTCTGGAACTCAACCTTGTCTTTGTCGTTGACAGTTCTTCATCGTCCTGCTGATAATCCTGCTAGCAGAGCTGATATTGCTCATCCTCTTCTTTGTGTACTCAGATAAGGTAAGTTCACAACACCGTGTGCTTCATGACTGAATGTTTCTGTCTCTTAACTTTCCTGTTAACAGACAGGGTGCTTTGTTACAAAGTCTATACAGTTTCTATTTACAGCGTTGTCAGCACTGTGAGGCATTTGCTGCTTGCTGAAACCTCTAAACTCAGAATATAATAGTATTAAGCTTTCAAACACGCACACACACACACACACACACACACACACACACAGACTGCATAATACATCTCTCTGTGTGTGTTCCTGTTCAATCCAGGCTTCAGAGATTAGACTTTTTAAATTGAGATGTTTTTTGTCCAGGAGGTCGGGGGTCTTTTCTCTCTCTTTAACCTTGGAGCCAAAGGTTAGGCCCAAAATGCAGTTCCAATCTCCACCAGTTGGCTTCCTGTATTTGGTCGTAGTCACATTTCCCATGACCTTCTGGTGTGCTGTAGTCAGGGCTACACATGTGTGTGTGTGTAACTTCAGAGGATGATATGTCCATCCAGGGATCACTAACTAACTTGACAGATCCTTTGTTCAGAAGACGACAAATGCCGTCAGTAAGACAAGCAGTGAGGTCTTCCTGTCTGTTCTCAAGGACACGAGGCTGGTGGTTCAGTCTAATTTATATTTAGTAGACTAACATCAGTGTGTCGCCTCCCTCTTGGAAGGAGAGTTAATTTTCCTTCTTGGTTCTGAAGTTATCTCTTAAACTAATTTCAGATAAAGAAAATCATTGATGGCCAATCCGTCCCCAGATTCAGATCAGAGTTTACAGGCACGACCTGCTGGGAGTAAATACACGTCTCTAAAATATATATTGGCTTAACCTGAAGAAAATTAGAATAAAATCCAAATGTTTAACCTTCCTAGCAGTTTAAATAAATTGCCTGTTGACTCAGCATCCTCCCCATAAACTGTAACGGGGCAAGACGCTGAGGATTCTGTAATGAGATGATGGTGAGGAATAATAGTCGTGAGGAAGTGTTGTCTTTGCCACAAATGGAATTTCAACGCACTTTATTTCCAAGGAAGCTCCAATTTGATAAGTATGAACTAATTAAGAAATTGTTTTCTGCAAAACAGATGCAGTAAATAGGCACAGAGTTGTGTTTACCGCTGGGTCGCATCCAAATTTATTTTAATTACATTTCTTTGTGGCTAAGAAATAGAGATTACGAAAACGTGTCCTTTTGAATCTGGAACTTTTTTTTTTGCCTTTTAAAAAACCTTAGCTTTAAGGAGTCATGGTCATTGTCATCTTATTCTCCTCTTCACCATGTAATAGAACATAATGGCCAGTCTAACACATGAGCTCTTTGTCTACAATGTAACACATTTCTGTAGAGTGATTTCTGCAGCACCCTGCTTAAAATATAATATCATTTCTTGGGATTGAAGCCTTTAATCGTATCTTCACATATAATCTGTATTAAACTCACGCCATAACTGTGATTAACAATGCCTTGTTAATCACACTCTTTTCAAATTGAATCTTGTTAAATCATATACACATGATCACACAACATATTATTAGCATTAAGTTTAGACAGAAGGTTTGGAGGGTTCTGCACAAAACGGTTGTATAATTTAATTTGATGTAGCAGCAAAATCATTTCCTACAGTAGTCCTGAGTCCGCGCAGCTATTTTTGGTAATTATGTTATTACCGACAATAATGAGAGGCATAAATTCTCTACGCTGCGGTGCTTTGAAACCTAAAAAAAAAAGATTTATTTTCTTAATTCTTTGTTTGCAGAGGCTGTTCTTCAGATGAACACTCTTTATACCTGACCAGTGAGTTTTCACAGAGTTTGCTCTTCATTCCTTCTTGGAATGTATTACAGTAATCAATTTAGGAATCCCATTAAAAACAAAAGTTAACTGTGTGGTTAAATGTTTTGTTTTGCTTTAGAAATGGTGGTTCAAGTAAACAACTGAATGGGAAGATCCAGAACCTTTTTTTAGATTGTTTTTTGGTGTTGCTATTTAAAGTGTGTTCAATTATCCTGCAGTGTTCATCCTGATACAGGCCTAATGAGGTATAAAACGACGTTGCAGAGTAATTAAAGGCAGTTGTTTGTATTTCTTTTAAGGCTCCATATGTCACTGGAACGAAGGGTCATTGTTTCAAATTATTTCATTAATAGTGTTGGCATTTGCTTGCAGCTCTTAAAATAAGTTGTGTCTGAAAATGTGGTGCTTTTGTTACTCAGGCATAGTTATATGTCAATTAACACTAAGATTCGATGGGACACACGGCTTTCAGATGATGCCGGATGTTTCCCTTTTCTCTTCTTTCTGTGGAATGCTCACCACATCCGCAGCTACAGTGTGTGATCAGAGGAATCCTTAATTCACTTCTCTCATTTGATCTCCTTATCACAAGGCATTTATTAACAAGTCTGGAACACACAGCATTATGACTGTTCAAAATGTGCATCAACAGAGAGAGTGCAAACAGATATTTGAATGTTTCAAATGTTATCATCATTAAGTCACGATTAGCACCTTTGCAAACGGCGGAGCTTTCAAGAACCAAGCTCTCAGTGAGAGGCACAGTAGATTTAAATATATAGTGTCTGTGTTTATAATAGGAACTTATTGTGTCACCACTTGCACTTAGTCATCCATTCTCTCCCTCCTTATTTACAACGGTTTAATCCTGCTTAAGAGGTGTAGCTCCTTCTTGTTAATGGAAAATTTCTCTCTTGTCTATTTCTCCCCGGCAGCCCTGCCAGCAGGTATGGCTTATTTGTTGGTACTTTCTCTCTGGCTCTACAGCCCAAAAGTGTTAAGCTCTTTGATTAAATGCCAGGTAGAAGCCGTATTATAACAAAGGCTGGCTCCGCAGTAAGCAACCAGCTGACTACAGCAGATGGCTGGCCCACAAACCTGATTACAGCCATCCTTCTTTAACATTGTGACCTCATTGCGCCTCCGTCGACCCAACCAACCAGGCTGTGCACAACAGAAACTTTATTAACCCGGAATGAGGAAGCAGAAACTGGCAAGGAAAGGAGATGGAGTACACAAAAATGTGGAGATGTTAACAGGAAGATGAAAATGGAGGATGAGGAGGGATTAGAAAAGCACATGGATACAGGTTAGAGGAAAGTGTAGGTGAGAAATTAAAGCTAAGGATAGAAAATGTGGCGAAAAGGTGTGGGAGGGAGTAGTCACTTTACCAGACGGAAGACGCTCATTACATTTACATAAGGCGAGGGGAATGTTATATCTCTGTTACTGAAGCAGGTAGAACCATACTTTTAAAATTCATGTAAACAGGGTCAAGGACGCCGGTCCAATTAAATTAAACTGTGTGTGTATACTGAGGTATAGACTTGTGTAATGAAATCAAGTACTAGTCACATGACTGCCGGAGAGTGTAAGCGGGGCACTGCGCAGCATCTCTAATGTGGTGTATTTGTTTGCAATCGATGTTCAAGCCCCGGTGATGCTTTATCTCTTCAGACTGCTTTTATTTTGGGACTCAATGATCTTCTCCTCACTCTGTCTACTGCTGCATTCTGGCCAGCACAGGCTCACTGAGTTACAGAGAGAATTAAGTATCTTGTTTAATGATTTGCTTTTGGGGACCTCTGTCTCTACAGCTAATTCCATCCACATCATTTATTACACTTGCTGCGCAAGTGTTGTAAAAGTCATCAAACATATTATGTCCTGCGTTATAAGGGCAACAGTGAAAGACAAAAGGCAACGTGAGCTTATATACAGGGTCATGAGAGCCTAATGAGTCAGTCTTTGACCTAACACACGTGGCCTGGACGTCATTGTCAAACAGAGATTATTATATAAAATATAAGCAGGTTAAATAGTATTTCTTTGATTTAATCTCAGTTTACAGATTTACCTAATTGAGATTAACCTCTTATTCCTAGCTAAGAGTAACTGCAAAAACAAAAGTCTTTAATTTGAATACAAAATAAAGTCAAAAAGCCTTGCAGCAAAAACTGCATTTTGCTATAAAATGGTATAAATTCAGCAGCTATTGAGAGTTTTTCTTTAACGTTCAAATTCCATGCAAGCGTTTCAGTCGCTTTCCCATGTTACACCCACACAGACTGTGCAGAAACATGAAAAATAATCACCCAAATCTGCCCGGACTTCATTACAGCAGACTGTGATCACAAATCATATACAGTACTGTAGGCCCAGGGTATATGTACTTCTCTGCATTACTTGGATACATACAGTACATCCATAAAGCAGTAGTGCAGACAAGTGTACATTAAAGAACCCTTTCAAGAAAGAAACAAAGGTCAATTAAAGGTCAATGTTCGACCTTCATTGAATTTTTATTCTTTTACACCAGTTTCTAGTTAAGTTTGATTGTCCTTTCAGGTAATTAATTGGTTATATTAGATAATATTTGAAATTATTTCACATCTCTCAAGTTTTGTGTTAATTGGTTATATTAGATAATATTTAATAAAATTATTTCACATCTCTCAAGTTTTGTACTTGCTCTCTCATATATTAGGGAGATTTATAAAGTTGTACCTTTTTCAGGCATGAGAAATACACATTAATAGGTTAGCATTAGTAAATATTGTGGCATGTTAACATTAGCAAAATCAGTGAGAAAAAACTTCTTGACCTCAACGGGTGACAGAGGGCTCCAGACAGCATCCTAAACATGTCAAGAAGACATTTATTTGGTCCCATAACCAAAGACATAAAGCTCAACTTTAAAGGCAAAGGAATCAGTTGTTGTCTCTAGAGTGTTCCTTGATATAAACTGGAGGGATAACTCATTGTCATCAAAGTCCCTGCAAAAAAAAATCACTAATTAATCTCACTTAATTTAGATAAATTACCATTCCTAAATATGACCACAAAAAAAAAAAAAATAAAATCAGCTTTGCAGATGTAGACTTACTGATTGACCTGGTCCGAAGAAAAGTCCAGTGTCTGATCTGAAAGTCAAAAGCTGATTGTTAGAGGTATTTTATGCTTCATTCTTCATTCTGCACGTGGAACGATTTGTTGAAAAAGTTTAATTTGGTTAATTTCACAAAGAAATATCCCAGTTAATGCCTTCATTTTGAGAGCCATAGAAGAAATAAAAAATTAAAACAAACGTTGATAACAAGCATAAACACTTCTGATTGTTGGCAGACAAACACAATCATGATGACTTTGCTTTTAAATGCAAAACGTGTTGTCTATGCACTATGCAAGCCTAGCTGGTAGCTTAGCATTTGTACAGTTTGTACAGAATTAAGTTAGCTCTATATATTATTCTATAGTAGCTTTACATGAGAATGTCAAGAACAAATCTGAATATTTCTGGAACACCATGAATCCCTTCTCATTTCTGACCCCGTGTTTACCTCACATCCATCACTGCTGTTGTGCAGGCTGACAGTGGAACACCATCTGTTCCAGGCCAACCCTACATCTCCCTCCAAACTGTATACGCTCTTCTTTCTGCATTTCTCCATCTCTGCAACTCTGAGTCCAACCCAGGATTTCTGTGATGAATGTGCTGTCCTGAATGGTTGAACATGAACTTGGTCAGCCCAGAGGAAACCGCCGGCTTATTTATGTAAAAAACAACTTGGAGCTGTGTCTCGGAGCTTTGTCAATGTTCTTCTGAAGAACACTGAAGCACTGTTGGAGCAGGAGCGGGCCAGTGACAGACACTGGTGATGTAAGCGTAATTCTCTGTGAACAATTTCCAGCCCCGGCAACATAGGTTTCAGTAACGAAGCGTGTTGAATCAGATGTGTAAAAATAGTCTGATGCATCAGAGCCTGTGTTTGAATCTGCTCATTTAGCAAAGAAAAAAATAGGTCAAGTGTTGCAAGATCCAACCTCTGGTTTGTTTCCGGAGTCGTTTGTCTGTCTCTCGTTAGCAGTAAATCTGGATCATTAAGTTTGATGTCAGGCTGTAACAAAGACCTAACAGATGACATGCAGAGACATGACATGTTGGACACTCAGAGGAGGACGTTAATTGTTGGAGGAAGGCCCCTGCTCTCCTCTGACTATGTTTAAGTCGTTAAAGTCTGACTCTTCTAGTGCAAGGAGTCAGTAATGAGCGAGTGCTATCACATGAGATGGAGCGGAGAGGTTGGAGGATGAAACAAAGTATGAGGCAGAGATTGATGATGTTGCTGTTCCTCTCATTCTTTTTTCCCGTTGCAATTGCTCTGAGGAGCGGCACGCCGACACACTCTGCTTTATATCAGCAGTGATTTGGAATAAGAAAAGAAGAAAATGATATGAAACTTCTTTTCAGAGAGTTTACAGAATGATCCAAGTCAGCTCTGTGTGATTAATAAAATGCCTTCTTTGCAGAGGAAATTAGAACTGGTCTGTGAAAAACATTAGTCGGACTTTTTTTTCTCTGTTCTCAGTTCTTTTCTGCAAATAGTTTTGCTGTGGCTTGCAGCTGTAAGAGCTTTTATTTTTTTGTTCCCACCGATGAATTCCCTTACTGCACCAATACAGTCATTAACCCCTGCAACAAAACCCCAGTCCCTCATACAGTATATGTATATATAAACCTATAGAACGATGTAAGTATATATATATATATATATAGATAGATAGATAGATAGATAGATAGATAGATAGATAGATATTAAACCTCAAATTTGTTTGATTCTTCAGCCTACCAGCCTCTCACTGAATGAAGACAAATGGTTTAAATCTTCTCTTAGGCAGTGTGTTTCATCTATTGTAATGTAATCTGTTTTGCCCTTACAAATACAAAATATTATTTTACCCAGTTATAATTACCCTCATATCTAAAACAACTGTTGAAATGGTTCCTGTGTGGCTCTGCTGTCATGCCTTTACAGGGATGTTTTATTTTAATCTTATGTTTGTGTAGTATTTTTATTTTGGCTAGTTATGTCAGCCACCAAATAAAATCAAAATAATCTCAGCTACAGCCTGCGTGTCATTTTGACCCTCACATATTCTTGTCCAAACAGACTTAAATCTTAAATCAATGATCATTTAAACTGTTGTTGCAAAAAAAAAATATTTTTTCAACAATTTTTATAAATGTTTTCTTGGTGCAGGAGATTACGGAATGATAAAAAAAAAATATTGACTTCAAATACAGCTGTTCTCACCCACGAGCCTTTAGTCACTTGTGTCAAACCAGTCTCCTGTCTTTGTCATTTCAGGTGAGTGATAATGCTAAGCAGGACCTAAAGGATGGACTGGCTCTTTACAACTCTGAAAACAACCTGGGCCTGCGAAACGCCTGGAACATCATCCAGGCGGAGGTAAGCAGACCTCACAGCACGCATTACATCACTGATTGGAAACATTAGCCTGTGATTGTGAATACCCATTACCTGTTAAACAAAATGCAAATATTTGGCTCAAGTATTGCAGCGTATGTGCTCCCGTGTTGTTAGCAGCTGCATTAATGGGACATTAGAAGTCAAAGATGGTGAAAGTACATTCTGTTTCATGCATGTCCCCGCATTTGTTGTATTAAAGTTTTAACCAAACACGTGTGTGTCCTCGACAGTGGAAGTGCTGTGGGGTCATTGCGTACACAGACTGGCATGATGCCTTGAAGGAGAAAGTAGTTCCTGACCGCTGCTGTCAGGAGCATTACCAGAACTGTGGGCGCAACTCCACCAACATGTTCTGGAACAGGGTGAGTTCATCATGACTGGAATCAAATGAAGACGTGTAGCATTATTGTACATCCTGTCACAAGAGTGGCAGAATTAAATGAAGGTTTATTTAGTAAAATTGAATTGAAAATAAAATGAAAATCAAGTGACTGAAAGTCAAAACCACTACAAATCAAAACAAAGTTAACAAAAAAGGTCAATTGTGCCTTATATCATATCTATGAACTCAACATATTCCTATATACTATAATATATTCTTTTAGTTTCTGGAAGAAAAAAATAAAAAATGTATCACTTCTACGTGTGGTTAAAGAATTTGACATAAGCAAATATTTTAGGAGCTGGTAAAACCTAAACAAATAAAACATAACAAATAAAAAATCTGGGCAAATCCATGACTGACACAGCTGTTTCAGACAGAGATGTACCTTCACGTGGTTTAGTTAGTAAAAGAAGATATAATTGGTCTTGTTACTTTTTGACTACCCTCATTTGAATTTAATATGCTCCCACAGTTGATAATTATGGGAGAATAACAGCTCATTTGGTGGCACTCCATCTGATTAATAACAGCGTTTATACTTCATTGAAATATACTCTGAATAGCTCCCTGTAATCGCTGAATTCTGATCACGCCAGATTTCCCATTTCACAACACAGCCGCCCCTTCTGTTTCTGAGAAAAAAAGTTCAATATTTCCAATTACAAGGCAGCTCTGCGGTGGGTACGGCATGTGGTTTGTTAGCAGGTCCAAAGTGGAGGATTAAAAGCTCTAATATAATTGCCACAATGAGGAAAAGTAAGACATAGAGCTGGTCCTCTGGGAAGAAGAGCAATAAAAGCCAGTGTTTAATCCTGCCCCGAGGACACGGCCACACACTCAGCAAAAGACTTTAAAGTTGCTCCTGCGCCCACACCTATGTAAGGGCACCACTCTGCAGCTGAAACTACCATTAAGCCCCATACGCCACCTTTCTGTTAGCGAGAGTGACCACAGAATGAACTCAGGTGGGAATACTTTTAGTAGAAAGTGCACATGTGGCCCACAACTCTGGATATAAACTTCCTCACTCATGGGTTATTCATTTGTTTTCTTTAAAATGTCTCTTGGAAGTACATAAATGTGTCAAAGGGAGGAGTAATGCTTTTTCCTGTACAAGTGTGAACTGAATGGTGGGGGTCACAGGGGTCTCCAGACCAGACAGGTGACATCACACTTCAGTTACACTGAAACAAAAAATCCTTCCTTTAGCTTTCAGTGTGACCTGACAAGACTTCTGCCTTTATTCCAGGGCTGCTTTGAGAAGGTGGAGGAATGGCTGGATGAAAACAAGCACCTGCTGGTGACCATAGGCATGGTCACCTTGGTAGTGCAGGTAGGATGCTGAGGTTTTCTTCTCTGTCTCTTTCTCCTTTCTCTTTCTCTTTATCTCTCTGTGTCACAGTGCACTGGTGTGTGTGTGTGTGTGTGTCTGGCAACATATTTATGTGCAGCCAGTGGCCTTGGTGCCACCATTGTCTGCAGAGAAACTTATGAGGCCTGCTCTTAGTGGGCGTTGTGGGAACCCACACATATTGAAATATTTAAGTCAGTGTCTTCTGAACTCTGATCCTGTCTGGAAGAATCAAAGCCACCTGGCTTTGTTCCAGGCTGGCTGCAGTAATGTAAGGAGACAGTAGAAGATGGTGAGCAAAGATACTGATTATGAAAGAGCAGATACAGAATCCACAATCAAAGGCTGGGCTGAGATGGTGCTGGATACTCCTGGATGTTTCTGAGGTTTGTCTTTAGCTTTGCTTTACATCAACACCTCTCAGCATACTTTGGCCTTTGTAAGGGGGACAGCAGAGTAAAAAATACGTTATAATGAACCGGTAGGAGCGCACAGGAACCAACAGTATTACACAGATTAACTCAGATTATTGCTCAAATAACTGCAAACGGTGACTGGATAAAAATAGTATTACATTGACCAGTAAGTGTAATATTGATAGCTCTCATAGGGAGTTGTTAAAAAATCTGATGGGTTTTCTGTGAATTGTTGTTTTTTCCATATAAATAATTGATACAATTTTATTTAATTGTTGGTATATTCTTTATTATTATTTTTTCCTGTCCTCACCCTAAAAATCTCCAGATGTTAAGCATATATATGTAGCCGACAGAGGAGTAAAGTCCTGACACTGTGTTCAGTTTGGTTTACGAACTGCGCTATCACTCTTTTTGAAATCACTCCACACAGGAGACAGAAAGGTCACGGGTTCAGATGGAGGAGAAACTACCTCCGTGTCCACTTTGTTTCACCTTGCCTGAGGGACTTTAAAGCATTCATTTGTCCATTGTCTACAAGGCAGCTGACACCCAGCCGAACTGTCTGTAAAGAGCTCCATCTCTTGAGTACCATTACCAACAGCAGTAACTGTGCTTGGTTTGGTGTTTTTTTTAAATACTTTTACCTGTCTCAGTTTTACTTACAAATAGATCTAGTCTTTTTGTTATTTTCATATACTGTCAACAAACAGAGTAGGGTTTTTTGCCAATATAATTTTGTACATAGTACCATCACCGGTCTCTTTAAGTTTAAGAGATATGCCACAAAGGAAAGCAGTGTTATACACTGATTAAAGCGCCTCCTGTTGGGCAGCCTTTTGAAACAGATCTGTTGTTAATGCAACAATTTCCCAGGTGTGGGATCAATTAAGTTCTCATTATTATTGTTATTATTGTAGGGTGAGATGCAAAGGAAACAAAAAACAAACCCTTCTTTGCTAAACAAAAAATCCTATCAAATTAGACAATAAATCAGTAAAACATATTGAAATATTAAGATAAATAAAGTAGAACTTTCTGTTCAGAGCTGTCTGAACAGAAAGTGAGCAGAGCTTTTACACCAATACCACATTACAATTGAAAACATTCAATGCTGGACCCGGGGACTTGCTGGATCGGCACTAACATGCATATGTACTGGTGCACAAGTATCAGGCCTGACAATAATACCAGTTTTGGTATCTTCATCCCTAATCCAGAGGTTAAAATTCCTTTATTCCAGTGCCTTCTTAATATTCCTCCCGATGCTCTGTCTTGTCCTCTAGACAAAACTTTTCTCTTTATACTTTTTAATGCCTTTATCTTTTTTCTTGCTTTATTTCCCATGGACTGTGAGTGACAAGCATGGCTACTTCACTCTGCTACTCTGTGCACCCGTGGTTCACTCAGAGTGAGTGGCCTCACAATAAATCTGAAAGTTTTTTATGACCCTGCACATTTTACTGTCCTTGGTGAAAGATGGTGCTTGAACATGAGCCGAAGTTCACAGCCTCTCTGACAGAAAGTCAGCGCTGTGCAGGAACTTCAGCCAACTTCAGACTAATGTGTATTCATGACCATTTTTTTTTTACTTTTTTTTTGTTGTTTTTATTTTACACTCTTTTTTCTACTAAATTGCTGACACTCCCTTCTGTCTAAACCAATCACTTTATTTTTGGATCAATGGATGTCAAAACTTTCTCCCTCAGATTTACGCACACAGTTACAGGTGATGAGTTGCAGACCCAGGATCAGACCTTGAGCTGTCAGAGTGTAAGACTCAAAGGCAGAGCGAGGAATAAGCTGTCGGGCAGGATCATTAAAAATCAGTGTTGTTCAATGTTATGTAAAAACCAGAGACACAGATAAACAATGAAGATTTTTGGTTTGGTTTTGGTTATTTTGTCCAATGATTTACATATATGCTGCATTTGTTGCAAAGGCTAAAATATAATGTATGTATGTCCTAATGACCAGAGGAGTTAATATTTGTTTTCTTTAATTCTGTTCAGTTCTAATCCATGGATCGACCAATAACAACCGTATTCTCCATTGAGCAGAGATAGTATTTTTTGGGTTTTCAGGTTAAAGGAGAACTCACGAAAGAAAAAAAAACTAAATCCTAAAAATGACTTCATGAATGGAAATATACAGAAGTGATGAGCAGATATTAGAGAACAGTTCACTTTACTTAAGGGGACACAGTGAAAAGAACGAGTAAGTGTAAACTTTGTTTGCAGCACCCCCTTTTATACTTTTGTAGTAGTAACTATTGGCAAGCCCCTACCACATCAACATATTCACAGCTACTGCTTCAAAAGCCACTGAACTTTATTTAAAATACTGTAAATTCTAAAAACAAATATTCCCTCAGAGGAATTAATTAAAAAACTAATTTTCCCCAGTGTGACACAAATTAAAAATATATTTTAAAAATGTAATTTGACCTTCTGCATGACTCTTGAAATAACTCTGCACCCTCCATTCTGGGAACCACCAACTTAAAGTATATCTGCATAGTTAATTACAGTTAAGAATGTTGAGTTCAGCGGTTTCTGGTTTATAGTTTAAAAAAGGGTTTCTTTAAAAACATGACAAACAATCGCCAGTTAAAAACCAGTACATCTAAAAGAGAAGAGCAACTCCAGCTGATCAGTTTGTTTTGTTAAAAATTGTTTGTTAATTGTGTCGATGTAATTGTGTTACGTGACGTAAAAAGAGTGTAAATAAGGGAAAGGGGTAAAAAAGGATTGAGCTGTCAACTGTCACAACATGATTTTGTTGTGTATTCCAGCTGCACAGGTGAATAATTAGGTTTTTTTTTTATCATTTGTTCCAACCTGCTTCTGCAAGAAAATCCACTTAAGGCTTTGATTGACAGCAGCTTATGATGTTTTGTTTTTTTCTGAGAAAGGCAAAAAAAAGGAGAAGACAAGAAGAGATTTCCTGAGCTAATAGCATACCACAGGAATCCTCAGTGGAGCCTGTTCTCAGGGAGTTCACGTTGCTTTTTATCACTTTGCAGTTCCCTCTCCATCCAAATGTTGCCAGATAATGGTTTTAGGATCAGCCTCATGCCTGTGTTTGATGTATCAGGGGTAATGGAAACTTCAAAGAGATAGCTTGCAACTTTGACTTAGTGGCATCTCAGTTTGCTTCATTGACTCGATGCTCGTGCACGCTGTGCACACTCCGCGTCGCAAAGATTTGAAGCTTGCTTCCCTATTCTGGAAAAAATAGGGAAGGAGAAATTATGCCCGCGCTTCACCACAGGATTTATTGTACATCAAAACACAAGCTCGCCTGAGGCGTCAACATGAAACCACCACACGGAGGCACACGTACACACGTGTGTACATCACAAATGGAATCACACTATACATGTGTCTATAGAAATTCTCTCTCTCTCTCTCTCTCTCTCTCTCTGTCTCTCTCTGTCTCTCTCTCTCTCTCTCTCTCTCTGTGTCTCTCTCTCTCTCTCTCTCTCTCTGTGTCTCTCTCTCTCTCTCTCTCTCTCTCTCTCTCCCCCCTTCTCCTCTCCTCTCCCCTCCTGTCCTCTTCTCATTTCTCCTCTCCTCTCCTCCACAGCTCCTGGGCATGGCATTCTCTATGACACTGTTTCACCACATCCACAGAACGGGGAAAAAGTACGACGCTTAACCTTGGGGAGGTCGCTGAGTGGAGGAATGCCACTTCCTGTTGGGATAAGACTCTGATTGAAAAACAACACCCCTGCTTTCAGATTCACTTAATAACCTCTTTAGAGTGTCCTTCTCACGTGCACCACTTTCCAGGTCTTCTGTACAGATTCCAATTCGGCCTCTGCTCTCACCTGTCACTTTTCATTTTGCCAAAGAGTAACACAATCGGACGGGAAAGGACATCCACATTTTTTTTGCAAAGGAAGAGAGTCCTCCCTTTGGTTGTCACTCCACTCCAGTACCTTTTCTTAGCCGTCTTTTTCCCCTCCCTCGGACTAACACTTGGCTGGAAGAGACGGCAGACTCTGAGGCCCTCTGCCCAGTCGAAGTACAAATATGAAACAGATTATACTCATCACCTGCTATGGAGATATTTTTCCTTTTTTTTTTTGAATGAAGTGAAATTCTTCTTATCATTTCTACATGAAGAAAGACTGCTCCATAATGGCATGCTACTGTAGTTTTCTTCTCCACTGATTAACCTGTGTCATTGAAATGTCAAACTGACTACATGTCAAATTATTTCCTTTTTTTTCTCTCCTTGTCAGTGTGTCTTTAGTCTTGAACAGGTCTGAATGAGCCGTCAGAGGAGCAGAGGAGTGTGTGTGTGTGTGTGTGCGTGTGAGTTTGTGTGTGTGTCTGCGTGTGAATTTGTGTGTGTGTGTGTGTCTGCAGAGGGGCAGCTGTCAGTGTCATATATAATCCACAAATCGTGTGTTTAGGAATTTGTCTGTAGAGACATGGGTGAAGTAGCAGGAAGAATCATCGTTGGATTTATTTTTATAGCAAATGTTGCAGTATTATCTGAATAATAAACTGTTTAATTCAAATCTAACCTTGAAACGCACACATACACACCCACACACTAACACCTGATGCTGTACAGCAGCAGTATTCCCTTAGAGAAAATACAAATGTCTGTTTATTAGGACGCCACCAGAACTGTCAAGTGACACAGTCTGGCTGATGAGTTTTTCTATTTTGACAATACAGAGTGAAATTGTTGTGAGTGTGCAGCTTTGAGGGTTTTTCTTTTTCTTATCATAGTGTGTAAGCTGCGACAAAGAGAACATATAAATTCTAAGAAGTGAGGGCACGAGGGGCAAAAACAGAGCTTCTCTCACTTCCTCCATCAATCGTCTTAGTGGAGGCGGCTTTAGCTTTAGCTTTAGCTTTCTCTCATGTTCCCCAGATTCCGTACATCCTCACTGGCCTCTTCATTCTCCTTTTAGCTGTCAACCCACGTCTGACTCCGTCTTCGCTTTTTCACCCGAGTTTTCTCTGCTCCTTGTCAGAAACCAGGACGTGGTTTTTGCCACAAACGTTCACGCAGTATCTCTGCTGACATT